GTCACCTCGATTGGTGATGAAACGTTTGCAATCCAACTGCCAAGCTCGGCGAACAGACCAACAACCAAACAGCGCACCCGAGCTCATTCCATTCCACAACATTGCTAGTTGAAAGTGTCATCTGGTAGCCATAAACGTTGGCATAAACGTTGCTGATGGATCACTCCGTGGCAAAAAACGTAAGGAATTGTTTTGATCAAAAATGGGTCAAACTTGTGTGCCTACATTAAATTGGAGCTGGCAAAAGATGGCGGGGCGCATCTGGAAAAGATACCAGCCCACCTATGTATGGAATTCCGTGCATAGGTTGCCATACGGTAGTTCGACCCTTTGTCTTTTTTCTAATATTGGCATTCCGAACAGTACTAAAAAATGACCATTAGTCTGTGAAATGAAATCTCCGAACAAAGTCTGCAGCACAGTCTTGCGATCAAACTGGTTAAACGAACTTGGATTTTTACACCCTATGTCACTTCCCAAATGGACTGAGATATTGTAATCGTTAACACTACTCACAGCCAACGTAGATTGGATGTGCGTGTGAGCATTAATCATTGTTTCTGTTCGCCACGTCATTGATCCGTGTGCTGCATCGATTATTTTCGCATGAATGGTGTTTACTCGTTAAGTACGGCTAGCTGTGATCACGTCTACACTTGTTTGCAGTAAAAGCTGTTCAAGAAACATCAGTGGTTCCATGCCCATACAATAGCCATAACATTTTGATCCGATTTTAGTAGTGAAGTACGCTTAACTCTCTGAACAGCCTCTTTGGGAATAGATACAGGTATGACAAGGGTCAGTGTGGACTTGGACTACCAATGTAGCGGTGGATACTACTGATGTGCCATGCGAGTAGCATGTTTTTTTGTAACTCCGCTTTGCGTCTCTTGAAAAGTGAGATCTGATACGGAATTTGTGGAGTCGTTTTTGCTTGCATTCGAGCAACAGTCAATGAATATCCAAGAAAGTTCAGGAAGACGCATTCAAGGAGCAGATGGATATTCAGTTTTTGTAAACAAGGTGCATATGAGAGTTTTGCTTCCCTGTCCAATAGTCCGTAACTGTTCACTTGGCGTTTTCTAGTGAATAGGTCCGCATCGAAGGCCTTCTTCCTTTCACCAATACACACCTGAGCCAGAGTGAGCAGCACCCATAAAGTCCTCTTCAGCAGTAGGTGTCATTCCTTGAATACTTTGGTCAGGAAAGCAGCATTTCCGAAAGTCCGCCACGCGGGGTGGACAATCAAAACGCTTTGAAAGCACAGTTCCAAGCTAAATAGTACAGAAAAATCGACCAATAACTTCCACAGTGTTTGGTACACGCCATGTGGGATCGTTCATAGGAACCTACCTAGCTATTCAAGCGACAGAGGCAAGCAGTAAACAAACTTTGGTTTAAATCGCTACCCATTTGCTTATAAGTAAGTGGATTAGGCGCGGTAGTTGAAAGGAGTTTCACTCACTCAGGTGAGATTCTAGTAAAGCTCTCCCCCTCCCTTACCAAGTTCTTTCTCTTGCAATAGGGACCCTCCTACCAGGTTGTTCCTGGCCCACGAACTAGATTGATAAACTGGATAACAAAGCCAAAAAAGGGATCTGAACGTTTAGATAATCTCCACCATAGTACTCATCAATAAATGTCAAACTTTGGTTAGGATGCTCAAAAGCCAAACCGAGCACCACTGTTTACCTCCAGTATGAGTTTCCCATACCGTCTGATAACCTTGAAATCTGGCATTCCNAAAAAAGGGATCTGAACGTCTAGATAATCTCCACCATAGTACTCATCAATAAATGTCAAACTTTGGTTAGGATGCTCAAAAGCCAAACCGAGCACCACTGTTTACCTCCAGTATGAGTTTCCCATACTGTCTGATAACCTTGAAATCTGGCATTCCTGTGCAACGGAATGACTCGTGTGTGTACACCATGGAGTGGTTGGCTCAGGCAACTTTGAGAAATCTTCAAAGTATTCAGAACTCAGTCGCTGGATAAAAGCCTACTTGATAATCCAGGTGAATGTTCCAGGGGATCAGACGATTGGTTCATCCCTGCGGACCCTTGAGTCTAAGTGGGTGACCATGCTTCAGCCTTGCGCAATAACTCCCCCTTCAAAAGAGGATGGCGCATTTGAATCGATCATTTCAGTAACTCCAACTGATCAAATGTCAAGCATCTAGGGTGGTTTCATTCGATCTGGACACGCGAATTTGGAATTCATTGGCGCAGATAACTATGAGGTCAGAACTAATTTCCCTGTTGTCGAGTTACCCTCCTATACCACGTGTCTGACAACTGATCAGTTAATCAACATCGGTTAGTTAGTGAATGCAAGTCATAGTGTTGCTAAGCTGGAGAACCATCCACGAAGCACCCGAAAGAAAGATGAGAACGTCGAGGATAAGTGGCGGACTGAATTTACGTAGTATCAGAGGCAAGGAAAAAATTTCGCATCCCACCATTTTTTTCATTAACCAAAGGATTCTGCTTCGCAACCGCAGCAAGCGATTATACGAAATGCTAACCAAACACTATGGGTCTTTCGGAAAATAAACTGTCCAACTTAAAAGGCGGTTGTCGAACAGAGTTCACCCTCGGAGAAGAAGTGAGTTGACCACGTCTCACGGGTCTACCCCTTCGTATTCGCCCAGTGAAAACAAAACGGACGAATGGGGATTCAGCTCGATAGTGGAAGGAGCACATAGGTGCATGAATCATACTTTGGGTGAGTTGTGTTTGTCGCTGGGGTCAAAAACCATTCTGAATAAGAGGGAGATGAAATGGCAAGTTCATACAGGATATGTATGCGCGTATCCATCAGTTTGAGGGAAAATGAAACCAGCCTTTATGTTCGCCGCCAGGATGAATAGCTTTCTCCAAAATTCCCTCAATATACGGAAAGGTGGTTAAGGTGGGCTCAGAAAGGTGTCGGATGACTAGGAACCACAAAATAGTTTGTTGTTGGCAGTCAGTTAGCACAGTTTTCATTTCGAGATTATATCACGTTTTGTTTCAGTTGTTGACTGAGTTGTGACATGGAAATCAATCCAAAGACGAAAAAACGTTCTTTTTGGTGGATATTCTCTTCAATGAGTGCAGCAAAGAGACCGGTGTGAGAAACCGACTACCTTACTCGTAAGCCTACAAAAACGTATAATCTTTATCTGTACATCAAGACAAATAGATGGCGCCGTCTGCAGGCATACCAGCAAACCCATTTTGTCAGGTTCTTTGTGAATTCATCTCTTCGAAAATCTTTTCTGGATTTTTCAAGAATATTCAGATTTCGTCTGGAGATTCAATCAGTAGTTGCCGTGTGTGACAGGGTTGATGGCAGACTAGTGCAGCTGAAAAAACAGAAGTAAATTCGAGTGCATTCGCTGAGAACTTCTGGTGTTGCTCGAATCCATCCAAAATGTTGGCAGCTATGCTTGGTCGTTTGTCCGTGTTCGCCATGCGCAGCTGATCATCACATAAATCCTGACCAATGAGCAAGCGCTTGCGCTGTCAGAGCGGTGTGGTCTTTTCAGTGCGCTAAATGTTGATTGGCCCAAGTACGCAACACGCACGAACTCTGAGCCAATCACACAGGTAATAGCCAGCGACAAGTAGACCATGCCACCGCCTTTCCTCTCACCCCCCTTCTTGGGTAGTTGGAACAATACAACTCTATTGTAACGATTTCGTCTCCGTATCGCCTGACCAACCTGACTTCTTGCTGAAAAGCCAATTGCAAATCAGCATTGGTTTTCCAGGGCTGGTGACAAGCCTGCTTTTTTGTGGTGCTTCTTTGTGTGTGTGTGTGTGTGCTTGAGCGAAGGAGAGGGGGGACAGTAGAAGTTCCGAGGGGAGGAGCGGCAGTCGCGTAGTGCGCACGCATTTATTTGTGGTCACATGCAGCGATGTGAGATACGTCTAGGGTGGGCGCAACGAACAGAAGTAGTGTCCTCTTACTGCCTACCACACACCAACAGCGATTGTAACGATGCGATTGTCAACTTGCAACATTACCCTCTGTTTGCCCGGTGGACAGATCACGTGCAGCGGGACCGATTAGCCAGTCACTCAACCGGCTAGCCACGCAAGTAACCAAACGGACGACCACCAAATAGCCCAGTGACCAACCTACTACAAAAGATATCTCCCCCAATCGGACAGTCTTCTATTGCCTACGCTCAGCAGTACAGTCGTAACAACCCAGAGAAACAGTAACTATTTTGATTCCAACCATTCAACGACCGTGTCTACTGCAACAAACCCATTTGTAACATTCCACTTAAGAAAACTGTCGAATTTTGCGAATCGAATAGGCACGCACACAATTCGAACAAAGTATGGTCAAGAAAACTATTGATTCACCAAGGGGATCACCACCATAGTTTTTTTTATACACGACGACATTATTACTATTGGAATTATTATTTACACCTATTGGGTCCATAAAAAAATATCTTTCCCCACCCAGGTGGGACTTGGACGGGATCAAAACGGGTAAGTATTTCGTCCGGTGTAATTTTTACTTCTTACCTGAAATGAAGTCACCCGACCGACCAACCAAATTGTCTTACCACTCATTCGATTCTGAATGCTCTCTCTGATAAGTGATGATGAGTAGGCTTCATTGTCTGATGTTGTTGTCATTGATAGCGTGTTTATGCCAAGTGTACCTTACCGGGCCACACAGGATGTACACGTCCTTGACAAGGCGGGGGGGGGCAACTCTAGATAGCGAGAACAAGNTTGTCTTACCACTCATTCGATTCTGAATGCCCTCTCTGATAAGTGATGATGAGTAGGCTTCATTGTCTGATGTTGTTGTCATTGATAGCGTGTTTATGCCAAGTGTACCTTACCGGGCCACACAGGATGTACACGTCTGAATACCAGGTAAGGTTTCCTAGACAAGGCGGGGGGGGGGCAAGTCTAGAAAGCGAGAACAAGGCACATTGATTTATTTGGTTCGTGTCACGACTGGATACACCAGTATTTCTTTATTACGCAATGTAACCGGTCATGGATGGCCGCTGCCATTGGGGGGTGCGGTGGAGTGCGGTTACAGAAGCACGAGGCAAATTTTGTCTCAAGTTGAGATTGGCGTTT